CTCTCCTGACCCTAACTATTTCCAAATGACCTAGGACTGGCCTCCAGCTCCACTCCTAGTAGCAGTCTTCATTTATTTCCAGCAAGGAACCCCCACATCCCTTTGCCTCAGTGTCCCAACCACATGATTCTGGGGCTCACCTCCCATGGCCTTTCTGATGAAAAACACACCCTCTGTAACACAGCACCCTCATCTGCTGCCTACACAGCAGGGGCCTCATATCTTCCTTCAGGAAGCACATTCCAGACAAAGGACTGGCACCAGTAACCAAGCCCCTCACGGTGCTCGGCTCCTGGGATCATGCCCACAGGAAACCTGTCCTCCCCACCAGTTCCTCTCCCAGAGACCTCAGCCCTCTCCTCCTCTGACCACCCCTGTCCTCCCTCAGGGACAAAGAACACAGGACGGAGAACAGAGAATACATTTTTATTGCTGACCCTGTTACTGATGTCCCACTTCCCCACTATGCCCACCTCCACCCAGTCCCCACCTCTCTGTTGCCCTGGCCTTCACCACACTGATGCCTGTGACCATGTGCTATGCACATATGTTCCTTGGTTACTCTCTTCACCTTCTTTATCCAGTCTCCACCCACCCACCTCCCCTCTGGCTTTTGTCGTCTTTTCCATCTATCCATGGCTCTGGTTCTATTTTGTTCATCAGTTTATTATGTACAGTAGATTCCACATGTAAGTGAGATCATGTGGAAATTGTCTTTCTCTGAGTGGCTTATTTTGCTTACCATAATAATCCCCTGGTCCATCCATGCTGTTGCAAAGGGTAAGAGTTCCTTCTGTTTTTCAGACATGAAGTATTCTAGTGTGTAAATGTACCGCAGCTTTTTTTTAATCCACTAATCTACTGATGGGCTCTTGGGCTGGTTCCAGATCTTCGCTATTGTAACTGACGCTGATATGAACTTAGTGTGCATGTGTTCTTTCTGATTGGTGTTTCTAGATTCTTAGGATATATTCATAGAAGTAGGATGGTTAGGTCAACAGACAGTTTCTTTTTCTTTTCTTTTCTTTCTTTCTTTTTTGTTTGTTTGTTTTTGAGGAAACGCCACACAGTTTTCTACAGGGCGTGCACCAGCTATGCAGTAGGGTTCCCTTTTCTCCCCATCCTCACCAGCACTTGTTTGGTGTGTTACTGATGGTAGCCATTCTGGCAGGAGTGACATGGTAGCTCATTGTAGCAAAAGTAGAATCTTAGTTCCTGGTGACACTGAGTTTAACCCTGCCTCAGGGCTTCATTCCCACAGGCCCTTTGGCTGGGTGTCCTCAGAGACTCACTTGTATCCCTTCAAGATCACAGCACTCCCAGAGGCATGAACAGAGACAGCTCCTTGGATAACAACCCCATGGAGGACTCTCAGGATTCAGAGGAGACATGCGAGGTGAGGAGCCTGGGGGGGTATCAAGAAGTGACTGGGGCACAGGACAGGGTGACCACATTTCTGAGGTCATGAGGTCAGAGGCAGTGACACAGGGAGCAGGGTGTGGGGTGGGCGAAATCCCGAGTCTCAGGAGCTTCCCACCGTTACTCAGAACTTGCCTAGCATCCCTGAAGGAAACAAGGCCTGTGACCTTGGCTGTACTTGGTGACTCACGGTCCATTCTGGAAGGTGAGAGGACAGCCCACCAGCAGCATGAAGCACCTGCTGCAAGCAGGGGAGAGGCTGAGCCATGTTTCCCTTGTTCTGTCAGTTCACTGTGACATCAACCAGGAGGAACTGTTAGCTCCAGTGTACAGGTCCAACACAGGTTCTGCAACGCAGGAAGAGGGCAGGCCAAAGGGCAAACATGTTTACCTGAGCGGCTGCAGGGATTCATTATTTTTTCTTTTCCTAGATGTTCAAGGATGTTCCCAAATGCGTGTCTGAGGAAGAGTGGACAAAACTGGAAAATGCAGATAAATTAAGCTATGTGTACATGAAGAAAAGATACGACTTTATGACTGCTCTAGGTAACAGGCTGACCTGGGAACACAAGACCATCCCTCTTTCCCTTTACATATCGTGGTTCCTTCTTCGGTTCAACTAAATTTACCCCATTTCATTTGTGCGGGGAGAATTCCCTGAGCAGCTTCAGAACCTCTTTTCTATTGGATCCTGAACAGGGCTCAAGGTCAGGAGTGGCCACAGAGATGCTCAGACCTGGATCCTGCACTTTTCACTCCCACTGGCCCTTGTTCGCATCCCTCCACCTCCTGGCCTTTCCTGTCCCTGCTGCCTCCCTGCATCCACCCTCTTCTCAGGTTGTCTCTTAAGCAACAACTATTTTGCTTCTCCTAGGTCTCAAGGCCATCGGCCCAAATTTCATGCCTCCGACTAATCCAACCCCAAACTCGCCTGAGCATGATTCAGATGAACCTCAGAATCCTGGGAGTCATGGTGAGTGACAGGAAAGTCCTGGAAATTATCCCTGAAGCCAGATTTATTCGGGGTTCAGCAGCTCAGAAAAGATTCTCAGGGGTTTCTTGCCTAAACGGATCACTGGCAAGTAAAGAATGTTGGATGCAGAAGGTTAAGTACAGTCAGTTCAGTGGTGATTCGTATAAAATCCTAAGACTTGCAAAAGAACAATATGTTTTTATAGATAATAGGTCAATGGTAAATGTTTCAAAACCTGAATGTGAATAAAACTCATCAAATTCGGGAGTAAAGAAGTGCAGAAGTAGTAACGGCAGAGATTGGTGAGGGCTGCACGGATGCCGTCAGCTGTGACGTGTTCCCAGTGTTTTGTTGTGTTTTGGATGAAGGATCTCAGAACCCTGTGAAGCGGATGTGCACTAGTGTTGTGATCTGACTGGACACAGTGGGAGGTGGGCACATGTTTCTCACAAAGTCCTCAGTAGTTTTCTGGAGTTTGAAACATTTCTTTCTTTATATTTTTTTCATTGTAATTACAATTTAATGAGCATACAATATGTCAGAACTTGTGAAGCTAGACAATTCAAATATGTAGTTTGTTAATTATAACTCTATAAAGTTATTAAATTATATTTTTTAATTTTTCCCTTTATCGATTAAGATATTACAAATGTGTCCTCATCCCCCAATGTCCTGAAACATTTCTTTATTTAAAGGAGTTAATATTCTTGCCGAACACCCTCATGAGCCTCAGGAAAATTAAGAAAATTTTGACTAAAGTCTAAACACTCGAAAAACCTCCCAATTCAATTTTAGAACAGCATTGGGATAGCTTAAGATAAACACCTTAAGGGACAAAAAAATGATTAAAGTACTTTGTAATGACACTCACCTATTTCCTGAGCTTTACCAAACAGAATGGTCTTCTCACTCCTAACAGAACCTGATTCTATATATTGATTTGGGAGCGTTCGAAATAGCAATGCCACACATACACTGAGGTTTCCTAGTGGTCAGTGGGCAGAGGCCACAGGGGTGAAAGAAACCACACATTCAAAAAAGCTCGGCCTATGTGAGCAGTGTCTTTACTCACTGTGAAAAGGGTGGATATGTTCGCTTGCTCTTCTGCGTGGACAGCAGAGTTGCAAGAAGACCGGGTCAGAATGCTCACACTGTCTCCAATAGACCTAGGACAACCACCTCCACAGGCCATATTCCACGAGCACACAAGATCAATGTCAGGGGGCTGAAAATCCAGTACACAGTTTTTGACATTAGAGGAGGCTTTTTATAGTGGAAGCCTTGCAGAACCGCTGCGCTAAATCATACCTGGGTCATCACACAATGAACGACTTCATTCAGGTATAATTGGCATACTATAAAATTCACCCGTTTTGAGTATACAGTGAATTCTAGTTGCCACACATCGTTAAGTGGAGACAGTTCAAGTTCCCAACAAATCAATTTAATTCTTTGGGGGAATATGTAAGATGTATGTCATGGAATAGGATGAGACAGTGGTGGAGTTTAGTTCAAGTTTTTAAACCATCAGAGAGAATGTTATGAATTAATCCTATGCACAAATGTACAATCTATAGTAATAATCATCAGAAACCAGTTCCAAAAATAACCCCTGATGGTGAGTGCATTGATGCCATCTGCTGCAGATTTCCCTGATACTTCAGGAGTCTTCCAGGATGTGGGGAACGTTTACCAACAAAGACCATCTTCGCTTTATCACCTATTTACGAACGAAAGTCCTGAGGAGGCTTCCCACGTCCAACCAAAAAAACACCTGAAGGTATCTCCCGAATCTGAAGGTCCTTGCTCGCTACACGGCTGTAAATATGGTATGAGTAGAATAGTGTGACAGCCGGTATGTCTTTCATCTTCATAGTGATGCCGGATGTTATTTTAAGCACTTTAGATGGATTCAGTTACTTAAGTCGTAAGAAACCATTTATCACTAGTGTTACTACTATTATATACAAAATAATTGTGTGGATATTAATAACAATGATAGCACATAATAATGATAATAATGAAGAGGCTGGTTTGCAGAGATACTTCATAATTTCCCAGAGACCACAGAGGCAGTGACAGTAGTACAATCCAAAGCCCCAGCCCATTCCTAAGCTCCTAAAGGTTTTCATATGTTTATGAAGTTTCCATTGTCTTCATAGGGGTTTTTCTACTGCCGCTCCCTCCTCCCGCGCCCCCCCCCCTGCTGCTGATCCTTCCATTTACACATCCACTCTCACAACAGAAAGTACCAGGCCCTCTTTGCTGTCACAGGGCCACTCTCCATATCTGAGGAACCCCTTAGACTGTGAGTCCCTCACTACCATGAGCTCCTTCAGGCCTTATCTGGGCCTGAGGCAACTCTGAAGCCTCAATCCCAGCCCAGAGAGCCTCAGAGGTGCCTAAATTTGCATTGAATACTTGAGTCCACAATTGCAGATGAAGCTAGTTGAGATGGTAAAGGGATCTAGGGGTTGGGCTGCCAGTCTGGAGACAGTTGAGAAGGGAATTGAAAGATCACAAGAGAAAGTATTCCTTTCCATTGATTCCACACAAACCACTTTCACTTCCCTTGTTTTACATTTCTTATTCACTCTTTCCTAAAGGAAGGAGCCTGATGAAAAGTACATGAAAGCTGATGGTCATGACACCACCTGACAGCAGCAGAGTTGATGTGGGAACCACCTCCCTAATTCCATTATACCAGTAAATGATGGTGCCAGGGTTGGACAGTATGTCACATCTGGCACAGCATTCTTGTCTGTGTATCATCATTTCTGTGTAGCATTCCTTTCATCCCCCCCAATATTAACCTCCCCACACCATTTTCAAGCAGTTTTTTCCCCTCCAAACACTTTTAAATTTTTACCTTTATTGTAGAAACGATTACAGATGTCCCACCTTTCTCCCCCCTCAATGATCCCCTCCACCTTAATACCACCTTCCTTGGCCTTCACTGCACTATTGTCTATGTCCACAGGCTATACATACATGCATATAATTTCTCCTTTAATCACTACTCACCCCCTTCCCGCTGGGATTCCTCAGTGTGTGCCATGCTTCCATGTCTCTGGATCTATTTTGTGAGTCAATTTATTTTGTTCATTAGAGTTCACATATAAAGGAGATTGTGTGATACTTGTCTTTCTCTGACTGGTTTATTTCGCTTAGCATAACAGTCTACAAGTTTCTCCATGCAGTCTCAAAGGGTAAGAGATTCTTATTTTTTACAGTGACATAATATTCCATTGTGTAAATGTTCCACAGATCTTTTTCTTTCTTATCCACTAACCTGCTGGTGGGCACTTGGGCTGTTACCAGATCTTAGCTATTGTAAATAATGCTACTATGAACGTAAGAGTGCAAACATTCTTTCTGATTGGAGTTTCAGAATTCTTATGGTATATTCCTAGAAGTGGGGTTACTGGCAGTTCCATTTTTAATTTTTGAGGGAACTCCATACTGTTTTTCATAGTGTCAGCACCAGTCTGCATTCCAACCAGCAGTGTACTAGGGTTCCCTTTTCTCCACATCCTCACCAACACTTGTTGTTAGTTGAATTTTTTTATGGCAGCCATTCTGGCAAGTGTGAGGTGAAAACTCATTGTCATTTTAATTTGCATCCCTCTTATGATTACTGACTGAGCATTTTTCATATGTCTCTTGGCCATCTGTATATCCTCTATGGAGAAGTGTGTCTTTACGTGCTTTGGCTTTTTTTAAAGATAAATTTTATTGATTTCAGAGAGGAAGGTAGAGCGAGACAGAGATAGGAACATCAATGATGAGAGAGAATCATTGATCCGCTGCCTCCTGCACACCCCACACTGGGGATTGAGCCCGCAACCTGGGCATGTGCCCTGACTGGGAATCAAACCTTGACCTTCTGGTTCATAGGTCAACACTCAACCACTGAGCCAAGCTGGCTGGGTTCATTTTTAAATTGTATTGTTTGTCTTCCTTTTGTGAACTTGTATGAGTTCTTTAAATATTTTAGAAATTAAGCCCTTATCAGATATACATATTGGCAAATATGTATATGTTGATGGTTTCCTTTTCTGTGAGAAAACTACATTTACTATCCCAGCAGGTGTCTACTCTTTTATATATGGTCACCTTTATTGGTTAGAAGCTCTTCATTGCTTTCATAGACCTCGTGGATTTTTACAATGCTGTTGTTCCGAAAATGTTCTTTATACCACACTCACGCTTACGTGGAGACTTCTGCTATTTGCCAGAACATGAGTCTGGAAATAGCAAGGAGCCAAGTGTTCTAGTCCTCAAAACACCCTCATTTAGGCCATTCCATTTCCTTCTAACTGCCCAGGTTCCCCACCATTGAGGTACCGGTCATATACTACCCCAGAGTTGTAGAGAATGTTCATTAAAATACTGCACGTGAAGACACTTTATACATTGAAAGCACCAGAGAAATGCCTCTGATAGTGTTTGTATATGACTTTCCCATGAGACAGATGGTGCCCGTGAAAGAAGCAAGGGGAAAAAATAAACTGAAGCTACCACCAGTAACCCCAGACTCAGAGCCAGCTCCGAAAAAGCTCTGCCCCTCAGGCAAAGGGAAGGCCTCTGGTCAGCTGAGGAAGAAGAAGCCTGGTAAGGGGGGGGGGGGGCACAACGCCTCTGGCCTCACTGGCAAGGGAGCTAGGTCCTGAACAGGCCTGGGTCCAGGTTGGACTTTGGAGCTTGTTCAGCTCCAGCTCAGACCTGAGAACAGGACTTCCAAAGTCACAGGTTGACTTGTCAGCGACATAAGATGTGTGTTGCCGTGGGCTGGTTGTCCCATTCTCTCAACTCCAGATTCTTATCTCATAAAATGGGAATAAAGAATCAAGTCTCATTAATTGTTTGAACACATTAACACTTGGAGTGTGGGAAACGAGTTAAGTCGGCTCGTGTGAATTGCGCGTACTCCGCGGGAGCCGTCTTTAACTCGGTTCATATAGATTTGCGGTGGAGTGCGGGAAACGTGTAAACTCGGGCCGATTGTAACTGCGTATTACCAAATATTTGTTTGTAATCCACCCTTTTGGTGGATGGAACAAAACCAAAAGACAGAGCCATCTTATATTTTGGCGGGAAATTCACCCGCACTCCAAGTGTTAAGTGAAATCTATGACTTACAACATGAAAGGTGCTCAGTTAATTCTACCTGTGTAACCTGAGCACGTGTCTTACTCAAAGTGGTATCCACCACCCGCAGCTCAATGTCTGACAGACCATATGTCCTTGACAGTATATGCTGAAAGGTCTAAATGAATGTTCTGATAAGTACAGAGGTTGGGAATCTAACCCATTGGAGGGCCCAGGAGCTAAAACTCAACCTGGCATTTGTTGTGTACTGGTTCACTTCTACCATCTCAATATCTCTGAGCTAGAGGATGTGGACAACAGACCAAGGAGAAGGCTCTTGGACCATTGGGAGGGAGGAGAAACCTTCTTATATGACAAAATAAGGCCCACAATGCTTCGTCCACATTAACCAATGCCTCTGTATCACAGGATCCAGGAAAGGAAATACTGATGCCTGGATCAGCAGGCTGAGGGAAAGAAAGGAACATATTGTGTACGAAGAGATCAGTGATCCAGAGGAAGATGACTGACTATGTAAGTGGCCTTTCCTTCCAGCCCACACCACTGCAAAACACACTGTTCTCATAGTCCCACCTTGTCATTCCTTCCCAAAATCATTCCTATGCCTAGACCCTTGGGATGCAGCACTGAGACTAAATGACGAGGCTTCCCTCCCTCTTTCTACTCCCTGCTCTGTGTAGCCAGGGATCTCTCTACCCAGCATGCCCTGGGCTCCACCCCTTGGTCAGCTCCTGAACTATAGGCCTCAGCTTCCTCTAGCTAAGAACTTACACAACAGGTGAGAGTCCCTGTGGCATGAGCAGAAGATTCGCTTTGAGGAGCAGTGGGAGGTGCATGCACAGCATGAGGTGGGGAGGAATCTGAGTGCTCAGGGTCCTGCAGGTCAGGATGAGGGGTTAGGTATTAACGGATCAGGCAATGGGAGCTCACTGCAACTTATTTCCTTTCTCTCTCTTTGTCTCCACCTCAAGGATGTGACAAGTGCCCATGAAAAGAAGCAGAACCTGGTGGCCCTTCATGAACATGGGCACGACTGTGGACTACTGGCCATCAGCAGTACAGCAACTAAAAGAAAGAGTTTACAGTAGTGAAAAGCTCAGCACTATGTTAATATGTTAATATGTTAATATGTTAATATGTTTTGTTAGATGTTAGTTTTATAGAGCGTAGTAACACCTGTTCCTAATGCACGTTCCTGTCAGTGTATCCATGCACTTATTTCAGTAAAAAAGCACTGTCAGGTACCCTCCCTCTCCCTAGATGTGACTGGTAAGGTATTCCAGGGGTTGGATTCCAGATGCTCTTCTCTGCATTTGTACACACGCCCTAATGCTTTCACTATGAGCATCTTGTGTTTGGTCTTGTCTACTAAGTGTCCTGGGTATGTTCCTCTTATTCTGTTCTCTGTTGAGCAGTTGCTCTGTGTTGCAAACCCCCATTATTCATTTACCCTACATCAGTCACTGTCAGTTAATAAACAGAAGTTTCTTCTCAGTTGGTAGTTCCTCTCCTTCTTATGCACAAACCCTGTGCACATGTGTGGGTGGTTCATTTGTACAGAGACTTAGAAGTGGAGTTACTACACTAGCCGGTTTAGCTAAGTGGATAGAGCATCGGTCTGCAGACCAAAGGTTCCTGGGTTCGATTCTCCCATGGGCATGTACCTTGGTTGCACGCTTCTCCCTGGCCCAGGCCCTGGTTGGGGCGTCTGTAGGAGGCAACCAATGGATGTGTTTCCCTAACATCGATATTTCTGTCTTTTTTCTCTTTCTGCCACTCTCTGTAAAAATCAATATAAAAATATCCTCGGTTGGGGATTTTTTCAAAAGGAAGAAGTGGAGTTGCTACTTCACAGGTTTCATTCATTCAACAAACACGTACAGGCACATTACAGAGAACTGAATGCTGTCCCAGGTGCTGAGGAGACATCAGGGAATAAGAAAAAAATGTCGTCCACGTGAGCTTGACATTCTTCTGGGATATATTTCCAGATTTTACCTGTTGAAACCCTTTCTTTTACTAACTCAGTTATATCTCAGGCTTAGGGGCTGGGAAAGTCTAATGTGGAGAGTGTGGGATGAGACAGAGGTGCTCTGGACTCTGTTCCAAAACTCAGGGGAGAAGATGTGGAATCATTTTTCCAAGTCTGGGAACCTTCAGAGCGCAGCTTACAGAGTGGGAGAGGCAGAGTTCTGGTGATAGTTTGAGCAGGGGAGGACACAGATGTACAGGGTGCGTGGGAGAGCGCCTGGCATACAGGCAAGGGAGACCCAGGACCCAGTGTGTGCTGTCACAGCCATTGAAAGGAGAGGGTGTCAGGGAGGACGGTGTGAGGGGTCAGAATAACCAGGGCTGAGGTCCATGAGAACTGGCTCAGCAGTGAGAGGGGTGTCCTACCTGGGTCAGTGAGGATGCTGCTCCACCTCTGCCTCAGCAGAAACAAATTTGCTCTTACCCTAATAGAGCACTGCATTCCTCAAATTCAATATTCTGCTAATGCAGTTTGAGTACATGATTGTCCATGTGAAAAGAGAAGAGAATCCCCAGAATAGATCCTGAAAGATTTCATTTCTGTTCCCCCCTTGAAAGATGGTACACACCAACTGGATGCCCAGCAGGAAGATACGCAAGAAAAAAAGACTTCAAATCACATTGCAGTCAGCAGCGTAAATGTTTTTTCGTACCTTCCAGAGTAGATAATACTGTCCATGAGACAGATCCTGATTATGAGATGTCAGGAGAGTACGGTTTTTCCCAAACCCAGAAATCAGCCTGGACATGGTTCCGAGCCCACCCCCAATTAGCCTTCTCCCCTGCAAAGTATGATGCCCCATGTGGATGCACATGCTCTTCTGATGAGGTCCTAAATGACTGTTTATACCCTCTTGTCTGATTCGTTTGTGTTTCAATTGTTTTTAGACTGGGTTTACAGCTAATCCCTATTCCTAGCAGAGAATTGGGAAATGCAGGGATGTGTGAGAGAGAGCAGTGCATGCATCACAAAAGGGGCCTTCTGAGCTTTCTTCACTAAGAACCACAATACACAACACAGTTTGCAGTGACTCTAAGCCAAGTGCTCCACAAAACCATTCTGACCCTTTGCACATGCAACACAGCCTGGTATTTTCTATTCTGTTCTGCAATGCACTGTGTTATTCCATTGTAATTCATTAAAAACATGAAATTCTGGTCAGGTAACATACAACGTTCTATTGGCCTGTTTATGAGTTACAACTTGCAGCTTGGAAAGCCCTTCTTGATGGTCCCTGTGTGTGTCTACCAGGTAACTCCCTGTTCTCATTCCTGTAGAGAAGGTGAAAGGAGGCCTCATGATGCTTTCTCAGGCCTGGGTCTCCTGGCAGGTAAAGATTGTCTGTGGAATCGGTGGCCTTCAGGCTGGACAGTGCAATGTTCAGGCTTCACAGAACCTTGTTGGTCCTGCTGGAGGGAGTTGCAGGTCTGGCTGCCCAGTGTGGGGGCCCAACATGGCACATTGTGGTTCCAGTTGTGTGTGTCTGAAGCAGGCTCTGGTGGTTACTTAGTTCACGTGAGTGTACAGTGACTTGGTCCCACAAGAATGATCTCCAGCAGGATGACCTGGAAGCAGTGTAGCAGCCTTACAGTTGACAGAGCTCCCTCCACCACTGTCCATAACCAATGGCCCTTGTAAGCACCCTTGATCCCAGAGAGCTCCCTCAAATCCCAGAGAGCTCTCCAGGTTTTACATACTTTTCTATGTCTTCTCGCGCTTGTTTTACACAAGCTGTTCTAATGCACAACATTACATTTCAGGTTTAATTGCTCTAAATGAAAGAATATATTCTATTTTCTTGTGAAAAGCAGCATGTTTAGCATCCTCCTACACCTCCTTGCAGGAACACCAGCTTCACAAGATAGTCTTTAAGAATGCTATATCGCCCTGACTGGTTTGGCTCTGTGGATAGAGCGTCGGCCTATGGAGTGAAGGGTCCCAGGTTCGATTCCGGCCAAGGGCACATGCCTGGGTTGTGGGCTCAATCCCCAGTAGGGGATGTGCAGAAGGCAGCCGATCAATGATTCTCTCTCATCATCGATGTTTCTATCTCTCTCTCCCTCTCCCTTCCTCTCTGAAATCAATAAAAACAAATAAAAATAAAATAAAATAAAAAGAATGCTATATTGGAGAATCGAAGATGGCGGCATAGGTAAACACCGGAGATTGCCACCGTAAACAACCACTTCAAAAATACAACTAAAAGTCGGAACGGACATCAACCAGAACCACAGGAAGGCTGGCTGAGGAGAGACTCTTCAACTAGAAGCAAAAACAACAGCATTCCGACGCTCAGAGGAGGCGTAGTGTGGAAAATTTAAAGGTACGGTGGTGAGGTGGTGCGCGTGCAAAGCGGGCTGGCGGCTGAGGGCGTGGTTGTCGTTTTCAATCAGGAGTGAGTCTCAGACTCTGGGCTACAGATCCGGGCGAGTCTCTAGGGACCCAGACTCAAAGGGGAGAAGCGGGACTGTCTGGCTATGGCCCCTCCGAGGTTTGCAGCGGTTGATGGGACAGAGAGGCAGAGCCCCTGGGGACGGACTGAGAGCAGTCATAGCGGCTCCCTCCCCCCGCCCTGTTGAGCCCGCCCCGCCCAAGCCCTGAGCACAGCCATTTGCCGATCGCCTCAGGCAAAGGCTGGATTAGCGCCTCCCCAGAAGACAGACGTTTTCCGCACAGCTGATTCCTACAGCCAGTCGGCCTGGTGGTCAAATCCCTCTAGTGTTAACTACAACAATTAAGGCTTGGCTAGAACAAGACTGCGCACAGAGACCACAAGGGGGTGCACCAAGAAAGCATAAAAGATGCGGAGACAAAAAAACATGACAGAAATGGAGGATATGGAGCTAAGAATCGCAATTTTGAGGGCTTGCCATAAATTTGTGCAGAGCCTCACGAAAACTAATGAGACCCTCGATGCTACGATAAAGAAATTAGAAAGTAAGCATACACGGACTGAAATAAAGAATATTATACCCAATAGCAGACCAGAGGAGCTCAAGAATCAAACCAAAGATTCGACAAAAAAACACCCAATTGGAAAAGCAAAATGAAAAAAGAATCCGAAAGTGTGAAGATAGTGTAAGGAGCCTCTGGGACAGCTTTAAGCGGACTAATATCAGAATTATTGGAGTGCCAGAAGATGAGAGACAGCAAGATATTGAAAACCTATTTCAAGAAATAATGGCAGAAAACTTCCCCCACCTGGAGAAAGAAATGGACTTACAGGTTCAAGAAGCGCAGAGAACCCCAAACAAAAGGAATCCAAAGAGGACCACACCAAGACACATCATCATTAAAATGCCAAGAGCAAAAGACAAAGAGAAAATCTTAAAAGCAGCAAGAGAAAGAGGCTCAATTACCTACAAGGGAATACCCATACGACTGTCAGCTGATTTCTCAACAGAAACTTTGCAGGCCAGAAGGGAATGGCAAGAAATATTCAAAGTGCTGAATACCAAGAACCTACAACCAAGATTA